GCTACAAGCCATGTCTTCCACAATCACATCCAGACCCTTGCTGACCACACCCTTACCCAGTCGGACTTCCAGGACGACCTTCGGGTTAATCTTGTTCTTTAGCTGGCGAGCAGTAAGATCCATAGTGTCGTTGGGTGTGAAGCTGAACTTCCAGTCCATGATAACGGTGTCGACTTCAGTCTTGGGGTATGTTTTGACGTGCTCCAGTCGTGGCGGCTTCGAACCAAGGATGAAGGTCTTCAAGCGAAGACTATCGAGCATCGCGGGGGTTGAAGTGCTGAGAACCTGATCCACCGAGTTGATGATCGTATCGCAGAGAACGGGGGCGTAGATGGGCCAGAACTTGACCAGGAAACTGTTGATCCATTCCAAACTTTCAGTGTCCGTTTCCAGTCGTTGCTTCGCCATTTCACGATTCACATCGTCTCGGAAGTTTCGACGAACACGCCGAATCGAAGTCCGGTAGTAGGTACTGCAAGCGGCCATGATAATGAACACCCAGGCCAGTCCGCCGCCCAGCACGGCAACGACCCAGGATGCGAGACAGGCGAAGACGATGACACCGGCATTATGATACCAATCTAGCCCCAGCGTTAGCTCCGCCACTCGTGCACGCGTGAGGATCGGCTGCAGTCCTTACCTCCGAAAAATTTATCATCCAGTTTTCCTTCCAAGAGTGTTTGGTGATCCAGCAGGGTTCCCTCTTCTTTCTCCTCTTGGGTCGGCTGGTGTTCGAACTGTGGGGCCCAGCCCGTCCGGTCGCGTGCCCATCGCAAGTCTTCCTCCGAGGAAGCCTCTCCATTGGTCTGCGCTGTCGCATCTTTCTCATCTTCCTTCAGGATGTCGGTTGCGGATCTTGGAGGGGGTAAATCGTATTGGTCGGGAGTGCCGTCATCCTAAGTAGCGTATGTGTTAAGTCAACTGCTTCATAGATGTAGGATGCGGCGAAAATGACCAAACTCACCTTATCCGTGATAACAGCGACGCCTGTTGGTTTATGCTCGTGGTGAAACCCGGGGGGCAGCCGCTGCGAATGAAGACACTTGTCAGTTACCGGAAACCCTGTCGATTGAGAAATGAAGGGGATCTTACAGCTCTAGCGGCGGCGGCTTTGGCCTCGGGAGACGCATCAGGGTCGAACTGGTAGGCTGGTACGCCCGCCTTCCGGGTCTCTTCGACTAGAGTCTTCTCGACATCCTCTGCGCGAATATCGGACTGCGGATCTTGTGCAGCATTCTGGGCCACCTCAATGGCACCTTGTTGCCGCAGTTCGTTCTTGCTGCCTTCTACGTCTTGCGACGCCATGGCTTTTGGAGGGTAGGGAGATGAGGAGAAAACCTCGGGGAGGGGGATGGTGAAAGATCACCTATAGCTTGAGTCCCCAAGCGGCACAATCTGAGTTTATAAGTCAATTGGAAATCTGTTCGGTTGTAGCGTATGGCGAGAAATAGTGGTCAAAGAAACCCATGTAGAGAGGGAAAAAAAAAGAAAATGATGAAGCGGGGGGGTGGGAATTGACAGAGCGAAAGAAGCTCCTGTCAATGGGAGTGAAGCGAGTTGCTGGCGCTCGTCCTTTGAGTGGTTGCCTTGGCCTCCGCGGCGGGGAGGTGGCTGAAGCAGTGGACGGCAGCGGCAGCAGCAGCTGCTGCTGCTCGGGAGAGGAGCTCCTCGGTGAAGCTGAAGGCTGGTAGGAGGTCCACTAAACCCCAAACCCAACCCAATTTTCTCAGGAACAACCAGCAGGATACGTATCAGGAGTTGGTGGAGTTGAGGAAGGGGTAGAGGGGGCAGGTGGGGAGAAATTATTGGGAAAAGAACGAGGAGGGGGAAAGAGAATTAAATTAGACTTGCTTACCTTAAATTGAGAACTGGGATGAAAGAACCGAAGTTGGAGAGGGGAAGTAACTTAGTTACATAGGTAAAGGAAAGAGGGGAATATCGAATGATGAAATATGGAGTAAGAGTAGGAATAAGAGTAGGAATACGGGGGAACCTCACAATGGCAGCACACAAAAGCGGCCGGCCGCGGCGGTCATGATTGACTGATTGACGCCAATTGCTGGTTGATGACGAGGAGAAGATACGGAGTCCGGAGGGTTCCAGCGCGAACGGATTCAATTCACAGCGGAGCCACTTGCGTCAGAATAGGCAGGCAGGCAGTTGGTCGGGTTGTTCTACAAGTACTTCAGTTATCGGCTTTGTTGTTCTTCTGCTAACAACCAACTAACTGACGATTTGTTGTTACAGTTACTACTCCTATACCTTTGTACATCCTATTTTACTTTGTTATTACTGTGAATGAAGCTTTCCAGCTTCTCCCCCTTCTGGTCAAAACCCGCTCAATCTCCATTGAACCACCAGATCTGGTATAAAAAAAGGAAAAGTGCCAAAGACCTAGGAACCCACCAGCTCCGGAAAAGGAAGCGCGCCGATCAAAAGAGAAAGGAAAAAAAAAAAAGATAAAAAGGATCCTCTTCCACTCCAGCCTCCCCACATTTAACCAAACTTCCAGCCGAAGAAGCTCTGAGCAAGAACCATTCCACGAGGCACAGGATTTTTGATGAGTGATGAGTATCTCCGAGGGACTGAGTACCTGATCATCTTCAAACCAGAATCTGATTGTTCTTCTTGCAAAAAGTCATGGATGAGAACTGAACTTATCCGCTTTCCACTCCCCATTTACATAGGTACGTCGTACTGTCTGCACTTGGACTAGTTGACGCCAGCGTCCCGATCTATTGGAAAGGCCAGCACCGCCACAGATCGGGCGCCGCCACAAGTTCTCACAACTCCGCTCCGTATCTTTTCCATGTCCATAATTGATAATTCCGAACCTCTCGGGCTGTCCCCCTCCCCCCTATTCTTGATTGGATTTCAGGGGATCCTCCACATCAGAGTGGGCTCAACAATGGTCAATCCAAAGTTCCAAACCAACAAGTTCAATTTAATTTAAACAATTTCTTGTTCTTTGTTCTTAGCAAGAATAACCGAGGAATCCCGATGCGTACCCTCGACGAGCCCTAAGACGTCGCCCTAACCGAATTTGGTAGTATAACTGGACGATAACAAACTGACCAAGCACTCACCATTCCCATCACTGATTACTGTGACACCGCCTGCATTGCATTGGAGTCAAAACGAAAACTCAATAATATCATCTCCAAAAAGCCCAAGCCTGCCAAGGTCCAGCGACTGGCGGCACAAAATTGCCGGAATAATGTGGATGCCTACTCGTCACTGAGTGCCGGTCACACGTGTCAGGACAAGTTACGGCGTACCTCTGGTTATCATCTCCGACAACATGGCTACCGAGTATCTCAACAACCACCAAGAAGTAACAATATTCCAGCCATAAGAACTGTCGAGGATACCTATATCCCCTCTCAAACCTACAAGTTTCCAACCTCCTGCTCAAGTAGTCAAGGTGAAACGCCGTCAGGCCACCGCTACGCAATGCGCGGAGATCTGATCAACCCCGTCGTAGTCGATCGCAGGGGCTCCATCTTCCGTTTCAACACCCAATGACTGCGGCCAGGACATAAGCTTTGAAGCTGACCAGTCGAAAGTACCGACCTAGCGCATTCAGTTTCGCATCCACGTCATGCTATACTGCACTCTACAGTACTTGATCGTCGTTCTACTGAGTATGTGCAGTACGGAGTACTGGTTATGTACTCACCTCCGGCCATCTGCCAGCCAGGACTCGAATTGAACCACAATTGCAGCGCGAGTACGGAGCTCTCTCGGAAATCAAAACCCTAAGACACACCCACCAGGATCAGATGTGTGAGCACTGAGAACACTAAAGCACGTTCCCAACCTTCTCTTTTCCTCCTAGGCTCCTACCGTCCCCTACGTACTACTCAGTATTTACCAGCCACAGCCCCCCCTCCACTCCCAGATCCTCAGTAGATGTAAAGTACAATAGGATAGATCAACACCAACCCATCAAGCATAAGACAAACACAACACAATCCCACCTACAACATACAACATACACACCACCACTTTCAATCAAAACCACACCAACACCCATCATGCAACAACCCTCCGACATCTCCGACATCCAAGGCCGTGTAACTTTTGACAGTATACTGTACATTAATTACTTGTGACTTCCTGTTTATTGTTTATTTACTTACCTAACACATCCGAAAGAAAAGATCGACTTGGCTTGGGAAAGGGACTCCTCCACCCCACTTCGCTCGCTCAGTCCGAACATCGAAGTTTGCCACCGAGATCATCTCAGCTTGACTACGGCCGCCCTTTTTCAGCCCTGAAATCTCCCCAAAGTCCTCAGCCCCGACTTCCCGAGATGTACTAGGTACCTATGTTCATGCTCCAGTCCACCCACCCACGGTTCCCAAGTCCATCCCAATTCCACCCGATAACTTCAATATCTTATTCCCGCATATACTGTACATAAAACTGCACTCGGTCTGAATCAACCCTGTATTTCTCCAATTGAAGTAAACACGGAAGCCTTGAGTGGGAAACAACCCCCCTCGAAAAAAAAAAAACAACAAGCCGAACAAGTACTGAGTAAACACAAGAAGAAGTGCTTGATGCCACAAAAAAAAAAAAAAAACCATCCTGTGAAAAAGCCGAGGTCGGACATCCAACGAAAGGTCAAACTCAATGGACAAAAAAGTTCGGCAGTGAGAGAGAGTGTGTGTTTGAACTTTACTCCGTAGAACGTACATACTACATAGTATTCGTGCGCCCGACCGCCCGGACGGTCTTGCCTGGTCTGCTATCTGACTGCCCCCTCTGCCTGAAATCTACAAAACTGCTGTACAGCCCGTGGCGCATAAGTTACGGGCCATCATTCAACAATGAGTGTATTCTGGAGTAATGGAACCGCCTACCCCCGTGGTCCTGAAGGGGGTTTCTGTGTCCGAATGAAAGCCTCGTATACCGAGCGGTCGCAGCTGGCCAGCGGAAAGTTAATTGCAGACGAAAAGCTACGGTGTGAATGTCCGGCGGAGCACGGAATGAATATACAGGATATATCGACCACTCAACAGTTCAGTTGGTGCTTGCTGACTATTATATACACTATCAGGAGGGAGTAGAAAGCCAGTAGAAATACACATCTCAAAGCATGTCATTTCATCGATCTGATATCAAATGCATCGTCACTGCCGTAAAATAACAACGAGAAAAAAAAATACATCAAGAGGGCCCCGTAGAGAACGCTTTTCATAACAGATTAAATAATAACCGCAAGTCACAAATTTCTCCCATCCGTGTCTCCGTCATCACTACCTCCTTCCACTACTCCACTACTGGCTTGCTCACCGACCCATGCGGATGACGCCGGCGGCCATCAACTTCTGGATCTTCATCCGCACCTGGGAGTTCTTCATGTGCTCCTGGAGGGCGGCGGGGTCGCTCTTGGCTTGCTGGAGGATGGTCTGCATGATAGGGTCCTGCAGGATGGACATGATCTATGGATTGCATAGTTAGCGACAGGGCCCCACTGATATTGTCAGGTAGATAACTCACCTCAGGGTCGTTCTGGATTCTCTCCATCGTCTGTTGCTCGGTCTCGCCGGCACGGGCGCTGAACTGAGCGTCCAAGCACTTCTGCTGCTGCTGCTCGATCTCCCGAGCGTGAGTGCCGTCGTCGTGCTCCGAAGCTTCCGTGCAGACATCCAGAGCCTTGTTGTACTCCTTCATGGCAACCAAAGCCTGCGCCTTGCGCATGTACGCCCGAATGAACTTGGGATCCCGCTTGGTAGCTTCGTCACAGTCCTGCACGGCCTGGGGGAAAGCCATCAACTTGATGAGGGCCGCAGCGCGGTTGGAGAACCCGCGGGGGTCCTCGGGGGCGCGCTTGGTCATCTCGGTGAAGGCATCCACCGCGGCGGGCCAGTCACCCTCCTGGAACTTGGCCTGGCCGAGTTCGCGGGCCTTCTCGGCCTCGGCAGGGTCGACGTAGGCCTCCTTCTCAGCCTTGGCCTTGGCCTTCTCCGCGTTGCGCAGCTTCGTGAGAACATCGGGAGTACGGTGCTCAGTCAGCGCCTTGTGGTAGAACTCGATGGCCTGGCCGAGGTCGCCAAGCTTCTCGTATGCGGTACCGATACGCGCAAAGGCCCTACAATCACGGACGTTAGCCACGGTTGGATGCAAAGTCGCACGGAGGATCCTTACTTAGCAATGGCCTTGAAGTCGGCTCTGAGCTCACGACCCTCCTCGACAGCCTTCTGACAGGTCTCGATGGCACCCTGAAGATCGCCCTTCTCGAACTTGGCGGCACCGAGGTTGTTCAGGTAGGTGATGTCCTTGTGCAACTCCCAAGCCTTGCTGTAGTGCTCAATAGCCTCATCAAACTCTCTCTTCTTGTAGAAATCGTTACCAAGCTTCTTTTCGGCATCGGCGGCTTCCTGAGCCTTCTTCTTCTCGAGGGCCTCCTCATCCTCAGGCTCGGGCTCCGGGGCGGGCTCGGGCTCCTTCTTGGGAGCAGCGGGACGAGCATCAGGCATAGGCACATCCTCCTCAGCCTCCTGCGCAGCGCTAGAGGAAGCAGCGGCCTCCGCCGGGGGAGCTCCAAAGTTCATATCGATACCCAGCAACACACTCATGACCTGCAAGAAGCGGGGGTCGCCGATCTCTTGGCCGATGTCGTTGGGGTTCTGCTGCAGGCGCTTGAGCTTGGCCATGAAGTCGGCATCGGCCAGCAGGGGAGCGGTCTTGGGGTTGCCGGCGAGCTTCTGGAAAAGCTGAGGATCGTTGAACATTCCACCGAGTCCTCCCATGGGATCGCCCGTCACACCGTCGGCCTGGGCTTCGGCGTCAATGGCCCTCTTGACAGCGTTGAAGCCGTTCTTAGCCTGGTCGTTGGTGGGCTCCAGCTTCAGAGCCTCTTCGTATGCGTCGTGGGCAGCCACTGGATAAGAGACCGTTAGCAGCGGCAAAGCACCGAGTGTGCCAGCTGACACGCTTAGGGGGTTAACTCACGGAGATCGCCCAGACCGCGGTAAGCAGCACCTTTGCGGATCCAGCCCTTGGACCAGTCCGCCTTCAAATCCGTAGCCTTGTTGGCATCCTCGAGAGCCTTCTGGTATTCATGTTGCGCGGAATATACAGCGGAGCGGTTGGAGTAGAGGATGTGGTTGGAAGGCTCAACTTCAATAGCCTGGGAGAACTTCTCACTGTGAAGATGTCAGTGATCACCTAGGTTTACTAGAGATGTTCCAGTCATCGCTGAGCCGAATTTGATTGCTCTATTTTCAAGTATTTTCAAGCGGGGTAGAATACGGGACCAAAAATACGTACATAGCAGTAGGATAATCCTTTGCAGAGAAGGCCTTGTTGCCCTCTGCTTTCAAAGCGTCAGCCATGTTGTAAGACAGGTGACAGTAGGTTTTGGGGGGGGGGGGAATGAGAAAGAAGTGAGGGTGGAAGAAATGAGGGATGATGGTTCTGAGGGAGGAGGAGGGAGTTGAGAGCCGCCGGGGGAGCCAGTGCCAGTTTAAACTACGGCCTGAGCTCTGCCGGGAGCTTCTCGAAATTTCCGTTACAGTACGTACGCACAGCCTCAGGCCACAACAAGGCAGAAACAGCTGTCACTTGTGTTAGTGTTAGCCTGAAGCCTCAGGCCTCCATGCATGTGAGGCCAAGCCCGAAAGAGAAAGAAAGGCCGCAAAACATCTTCTTTTTCCCGCCGTCATCGAATTGTTCTTTTGCGCTCATTCCTTCCAGTCACTACTTGGTACTTATTATTAAAAGCTAGCTTTTCACAGTTGGGGACTTGAATTGAACCTCTCCCCGCCCACCTTTCTTCAACCAGTCCAAAAACAAAAACCCCCGGCGCGCGCTTCTGATCATGCCCTTCCATAAGCCTTTCCGGTGATAGTTTCCTTCCAACACAGTGTGTGAGACATTTCGGACAAGATCTCCCCCTCACCTTTTCCCCGCCGCGCCCACCACCACGAACTACAACCCTCTCCCACTCCCCAATACTCCGAAATTAGATTGAAACCGCCGCAAACAATGGCCTCCTCAGCTGGCTCTTCAGTGAGCGAGCTTTGCGCCCGACTCTACGACGCCTGCTTGAGAAACTTCCCGTCCGACCATCTCTTCTACCAGCAAGATCTTCTCGGACTGGGGATCGTCCCCAAGAATGACCTCGCCCTCCTCCTGCAATGCACTCAATCGCTCGTCGACCAGAAACTGTTCCGCCTGCTCCAGGGAAAGAATGATCGATTGGCGTGGAAGATTATCTCCCGGGAGGATGCAGAGAAGTATGAGCCCTCCCAAATCCGGCAATTGAATTCGAAACTAACACGAACGAACCGCCCGCAGACTGCAGAATCTCAGCCCCGACGAGAGTTTAGTCTACAATGTCATCCACTCGACCGGGCGGTCCGGCATCTGGGTACGCGCGATCGGCACGCGCACGAACCTGCACAAGTCGATCCTGGACCGGTGCCTGAAGTCGCTCGAAGGGAAGAATTACATCAAGAGCGTGCACAATGTCAAGTTCCCCAGCCGGAAGATGTACATGCTGGCGGGCTTGGCCCCCAGCGAGGACGTGACGGGCGGGGCCTGGTTCACGGACGGCGTGCTGGACGAGAACTTCATCAACAGCGTCGCCGGGTTCATCGAGTGGAAGGTCAGCCAGAAGAGCTGGTACGAGGTGCCCGCCGTCCACCATCGCAACAACAAGCGCCTCAAGACCGCCGACGGGAATGGGATCATCAGTCACAACCCGCACGAAACCGACGCCCAACCGCAAAAGGAATACATCCCCTTCCCCGCCGGGTATCAGGGCTACCCGACCATCCCCGAGCTGACGGCCGCCGTCAACGCCAGCGGCATCACCCCCGTCCGACTGGGCGAGGAGAGCATCACCCAGCTCCTGGAGATGCTCTGCTACGACAACAAGCTGGTCGCCCTCAACAACGGCGAGGTCTACCGCTCCGTCAAGACCCCCGCACAGGTCAAGTCGCAGCAGGCGCGCAAGCCCCCCGGCGAGGACTCCGGCATCGACGACCGTCTCGTCCGCAACGGCATGACAGAAGCCCCGTGCGGTCATTGTCCGGTCTTCAAGCTCTGCGCGCCCGGTGGAGCTGTCAGCCCGGAAAGTTGCGAATACTTCGATCCCTGGTTAGAAAAAGCCCTGGGATTTTGAGAGAAGAGAGAGTGTGTGAAAATAAAGCAGTGATCGGTTAATCTTCCATCTCTCCCGTGTGCATGGCTTAACTTCGATCTATATCTCTTACCTCCTTTTCCTTCACCTCCCATTTTTTTTTTTCATTTCTGTTCTTGGATTATTCCCCCACCGACACATCATTTATCAAACCACTTTTTATTATACCTTACCTGACTTACTTACTGTATACCAGTCTTTTTGCGGATCCATAAAGAAAGGGGACACCTAACTCTTACGCGGAGGCTGGGCGATGATCTTGTTTTGCTTTTGCTTCTGCATAGCGATGGCGTCTTTTGTGTTAATTATTACTTTTCTGCTTGTGTCTCCACACTCCAGTGTCTGATAGTGGATGTGGGACGAGGGGGCCAGAGTCATATGTCGATGCATGGTCTGTCTTTTTGTCTTTTGTTCAACAACAAGAGGTTCTATACTCCGCATATAAATTCGAGGCAAAAGAAGTCGAGGGATAAGAATCAATTCCTATCTACATTTTTATAGTACCCACTACCCACTACATCTCTCTTCGTATCTCTAGGTGAGGCCGCTGAATACCGGGATGGATGCAATTATCCCTAGGTTTGCAGCCCATAATACTAAGACCCCGGCCCGGAATTGTAGATCAGCTTGATTTGATCTCAGGTATGTAGTCAAGCATACCACCACCGCTTGATGCATGTTGCCGCTTAAGACCACATCAATGAGCATAACACCTCCAAACCCACGGAACTAATCACATATTCCATCAAGGGCTACTAGACCTAATTCCACGACTTAAAGACTAACTAAGAAAGTAAAAGGGTATAAAGACAACACCCAAACACCGAAAGCAGCCTCCAAGAAAAAAAAAATCACGCCCCCAATTTCGCCGAACACTGCGGACAATACCACTTGCCCACGGGCTCCCGGGTCAACCCGACACACTTCCAATGGAACCACTCGAACTCGCAATCCTCGTTGTCGCACGCCACCATGTCACCATGGCTGACGCTGCGACACGTGCAATACACCTTGGTATCCTCGTTGCCCTCATCCTCGTCCTCCTCTTCGTCCAGATCGTTCTCCCCGCCGCCGCCGCCGCCGCCCACCCCGGCGCCACCGCGGAGGTCGGCATGTTCCGAGTCCGACATGTCGGCGCTGCTGAGCAGGGAATCGTCCTCGTCGTCTTCACCACCACCATGACCACCGGGCCCAGTCGCCGAGGACGAAGGGGAGGATTTCTTGGTGATTTTGAGGCGGCCGCTGGCGCTGGAGGATCGCTTGCTGTGTTTCCCGTTCAACCCGCTGCTGCCACCGCCGCCACCGCCGCCGCCTCCGCTGCCGGTCTTGAGTTTCTTGAGCTGCTGGTGCGGCGCGACCTTCTTCGTGAGGACCTTCTTCGTGGTCGAGGCGGAGCTGCGGGGCCCGGCGCTGCCGGCGCGGCTGGAGGCGGGCGTGCCCCCGCCTTTCGGGGTACCGGGCCCCAGCGAGGATTGACGAAGGTTGGAGGACGCGGCGGGGAGGGTGCCCAGGGAGGCGTTCAGCCGGCGGCGCTTGTTCTCGACGGCGCCGGCGGAGGATTCGCGCTGGTGCCGCTGCTGGAAGTGCACGGTGCCCGACGGGGTGGCGGGGGCGGAGGAGCGCGCGGCGGACGGGGAGCTCAGCATGGCGGCGGCCGCAGCGGCGGTCGTGGCGTTCCGGCCGAGGGACTGGTTCAGGCGTTGGGTTGCGCCCAGGATGAGGTTCGCCGCGCCGCCGGAGGCGGAGGCGGACCCGCCGCCGCCGCCGTTGGTGGCGTGTGCGGTCGGGGATGAGGATGCAGCGGCGGCCGCGGCGGCGTCAACGGTGGCGTCCGGGAAGAAGATGCGCGGGGGGTCGCGGTATTGGTCTTTGTTGTTGAAGAGGGAAGGGAGCGGGGGGTCGTTCGAGAGCATGCCGTTGCTTTGGAGTTTGTGGATCGCGATGTCCAGGCGCTTGATCTGTCGGTCCAGGAGGACGCAGGCCTTTTCGCTGAGCTGGATCTTCTCGTCTTGCAGGAGTTGCGATTTGTCGAGATTCTGGAGGATGGTCTTGCTGTATTGCTCCTCCTTCGGGTTGGGCGTCAGGCTGCCGTTGAGCTTGATGAATTTCTGCAGACTGGTGTCGCGCGAGTTAATGGTCGTCCGGCATTCTTGGATGGTCTTGTCTTTGGCTTGAATCTCCTCCATCAGGTGATTGATTTCGGCGGGCAAGTTGGCCACATCGTGCACGAATTGTTCGAGCACCGTGGCGGGGTCCTCTTGTAATTGCGACATCCTTCACGCTGGCTGCCCCCGGTCTCAATGCTGAAGCACAGTTGGATGCTGTAACTTCAGCACCATGTGCTCACTGTGGTTGGGAGGTTGCGGTTCGTGGTGCTAACACTGCAATGCGTGGTTCGGTGCTGGTGTGGTTGATCGAGACGACAGCGCAATGGGAGATCGATAGTCGCAAGGGATTCGGAAAGTTCAGGATGCTTCGTTGCTTATCGATCACAGTCGAGACAATCGATAGAGACACGCCGGAATTTCGATGTTCCGTGGTCGAAAAAAGGCTGATTACTAAGAGGTAAACACCATGAAAGTTGCAGCTGTGTGCTATTTCTTATATACTTCCAAGCCACTATTCTATTGTTGACAAAAGTTCTAGAGCAGAGAAATGCAGAAGAATGAAGTACGTGATACCCATGAGTGTATTATACTAGCTGAATGTTCGAGCCAAAAACAGGTACGTGGTATTTAGTATACAAGAAAAGTACCGAGCGATTAATGCCGGCCCCATTAACGTATTCCTGATACGCTTCCTCAAGTGGTAGGATTCCACTTCCACGACTCCTCCTCTAAAATGAATATCTCATCATCTAGGCAATGAAAGAGCCCTTAGCCACAGTGCGTCTCCCTCATGCCATAGTGATGCAACACAGCAGCACAACAAAAACCGCTTCGCTATGCTAATTCTGGATGAGCTTGTGTGCATGCACGAACGTGTACAGAACCAATGAAGCGACGGGAAACGAAGTTTATAAACGAAGACATTAGGTGGGTGAAGCGACCGGAGAGCGCAGCCACCCCGGCACGTCAAAATATCGAAAAACTAAGAGTATCTTCCAAAGACACAAGTTTGGGAGGAGCCTGCCAAATCCTGACTGAATCGAACTTTAAAGGAGTAGAGATGAAGGTCGCAGCCTGATAGATGGTAAGACGCGTCAAGGACAACATCCTTGAGGGCAGCTGCTGAGCCCAGAGTGAAAGTTGCCATCCTATGGTTGTCCATCATACCCTGCCGGATTCAACTCTTGCTACTGGAATACCCTGAGTCCTGAGGCGTTCTTAGGTTGCTTGCAATGCCGCTGTTGAATTTGATTGAGTGTTGAGCGCAGGCGTATCCGACCAGGACGACTTTTTCCTGAACCGAGTGGCCGCGCTGACCGTAGGCTTCACACGGGTCAACCGCGTGCTGGAAGTAGAGACACCGGCAAGCTGCGAATCGCTCCACGAGTTTATAGCACATGATGACTGAGTATTATGGTAGTGGGTAATAAATTGAAAGACGTAGGTGGTCTAGAACAAAACGGCGGATCTGACGTCCTGCGTGCGCTGCGATATGTGTGGAAGGAAGGCAGACGATAAAACGATCAAAGAATGGTAGCTAGTCGCACGACGCGACAGCTGACAGTAACTTCGGTGCGATTGACAACGGTGGCCTGCAGTATGTTTGAATGAAAGAATCCTGACTGTTTAGGCTACCCAGGAGCATGTTCACAGAAAGGACTCAATCATAAGCGGATGCAAAGATCAAGAAAAGTCGACACTGCCGAGAAAGCACAACCCGGCATTCTAAGTTGTTTTCGGTAACGCACAGAGGACAACAGTAGACTCCAATGCGAGGGGTCCATAAACCGAGACCGCGGCCGTTAATGGATAATTGCTTGAGAGCTCTTCGAGCCGACCTCTTCCATCACGGGGGATATTGAAGATGAAGAACAAGGAGGTTACAAGCGAAAAGCAGAACCGTCAAGGTTAAACAAGAATTGGTGAAGCCACAGGGGAAAGAGCACTGAGGGATGGTAGCATGACCGAGAAGAAGGGTCGGAGGGGTGGGCAGGAAAGCAAGAAGAGAAAAGGTGGGAAGGGAAGGGAAGGGAAGGGAAGGGAAGGAAAGGAAAGAGTAGAAGAAGAGACGGACGGAATGATAGAATGCAGGCGAAAAACAAGCGTGCAGATTGGTGGTCGAGTCCCCAGGTAGGCCCGCCTCATAGGGCAGAGGTGAAAGTAGTCGATCAGTGGGGAGGGGGAGACAATTCCCGGTCAGGCTGAACCTCACGGACCAGCTACGTAGTAGTGTTATCCACCAGGTTCAGCTGGAACGCCTTGTTCCTCAGGAGTCAAGAGCCAGAGCATCTCTTTCAATGGGTCGGGTGTTCTCCGAAAGAGGGGAGGGAGATGGAAAGAGAGAAAGGAGGGGAGTGACCGGCCGTAAGGCTGCAGGATATGCAGGACGACAAGCAGCCCCGTTCTCGATCAAGCCTGCCGGGGATTGGACCAAGCAGGTTTGGTAGATTGACCATAAGCGATGTCCATTGCTCGGTGATAGTAATCAAGTCAGTTTTGGTGGGAAAAACCGAGTGTTGAACCGGCTGATGGAATTAGTCGTACTAGTGGAAGAGCAGTGGAAGAGCAGTGGAAGAAGAGTGGAAGAAGAGTGGATAAAAACCATGGCGTAGGGCTGAACTCGGCAAGAATAGAAACAAACGTGCCCGTCCGCCGTCAATTGGCCTGCTTCTTCTGTTCCGGCACCAGTTCAGCCACCGTATCAGGCAACAATCTTCTAAGTTCTCAATTCATGGTTCGTGGATCTATCATCATTCTCGGAATATCGGAATGCTTCCTCGCATCCCCTCATTGAATGTGTTATTTATGATTATCATAATTTCCCACCATTATTATTATTTTTATCATTAATTGATGAACCAAAGCTTCTTCATTGTTGTGACTAGAAGAAAGATTCGTACTCCCTACCAAAGGAAGACTAAGGGGTCCTGGTTCGCTATGCATTATGAGGTAATTTCTGGACCTCGCACAGGGCTGTAGGGCTGACCGTCCAGATGAGCAAACCTGGCACAGAACTGGAGCTGCAATTCGCCAGGCGAGACTGTTCAAAAGTTAGTGTCTTGGGGAAATGGCCCTGGCCGCCCCAATGAAGTCACTACACCACACAGTACTGTATTTCACATTAGGTGTCGAGTTTTTGTGGCTGTTTGTGGAAGCCATCAAGGTACTGTACCACCACCGGATTGCCGTACATACTCGGTGCTAGTTGTTTTCGCATTTTCTTATATAATCTCCTCCACTCATCTCAACTACCAAGCAATACCTCCTACAAATGGTTACGCGCACCATCGATTGCAGTCATAAAGTAGGCATTGATAAGTTAGACCATCAAATCATCACTTCATCATTTATGCCCCGGCTCATCAATGTAGGACTTGTCAGGACATTGGTGGTAAGGCCTTGCCGGGACCACTCATCCTATCGTCGTTCCATCCGCCTGGCTATACTGCCGTTTCTAGTAGAGAGCGGATATTTCCGTTGTTCTTCACTCCTGACCACCACTCTCACAACAACCTCAACTTGCTTTCCTCTTTCTTCAATCCCCACCTACTGTCTCTTTTTCACCCCCCTTCAACGAGGACACTCCTCGCCTCCCTCCAACCATCACCTCCACTGCGAAGCGAGACCGGCTCGTCCGTAGCAGAGCCCAGAGTCTGGCACTGTCCCCTGACCTTCTCTCTCTTTTTCTTTTCTTTTTTTTTGTGGGTTTTCTGTGAGCCTCTTCGAGTGCCAGATCTGTGGTCCACGTTGCCCCGTCCCAGGGGCAACATGTTACACGGTTCATTTTAGTATAAATCGGTCCGGTCCCAAACCAAAATGAGTAGTCTGCTCCGCGTCACGCTGCCAGCACACCATCAGGGATACAGTAACCGATCCTGACAGTGCGCATGAGTTGATCGATGAGAATCAACATTATTCCTTCATCACGTCACAGACAATGAGACTATCTCCGGACAACAATTCCCTGCCTTCTGACGGCACTCCGAGCCCGTCTGTACTCCTCATCACTGTCCTCCGACTCGGAGCAACTCGCCTCCGAGGACTCGGTCACATACCCGCAGCGACTGCCTCCACAGTCGAGCTTGACACGGTCTCCCTTGCGGGTGATCCCATAGCGCTCACACCGGCAGATCGGGGTCGGGGGGTCACTCATGGAACTGAGCGACGAGGGAGAGGTACTGCCCGAGGAGCGGGACGACAGCGAGCTGCCCGCAGAGCTGGGCGGGCTGTTGGAGAGGGAGTAGTCGTCCGAGAGACGGGATCCCGCAAACCGCCGGGTCAGATCGTCCATGGTGGGAGGCCCACCGACAAAGTCGGTCTCCCGGATCTGGCGAGAGGCGTAGGGCTTGGAGGGCTTGGGGTGCTGGATCTTGGATGGCGAGAGAGCCCGGCCCTTGACCACTTCCGAGGCCACCGAAGTCCGACGGTGGCTCTTACTAGGGGCTGAGGAAGAGCTGGAGGACTTGCCGCCGGGAACATCCAGGATGTTGAGTTTGCGGCCAGTGGTGGGCTCCACCGTATATTCAACAGCAGGGTCATGGGAGACGTGATAGCCATCCATGATATACTGTAGTGAGTTAGTCAGTAAGGTGTGTCATTAGAAGAGAAGGAAGCAGGATCACCGACGTAGTACCAGTACCGGCCACCCAACTTGAGCATGGAAGTCTGGAAGCGGAACTTGCCCACCCACGAGCCGGACTTGTTCTCATCGCGCGAGAGGGGGATCTGGCGGGAGTAGTTGTCCCACGAACCGACCAGGTGGACGGTCTTGACATTGGAGGAGGTCCGAAGAGAGAACTTGAGCTGAACGGACGACATTATGGCGATAGTATGCAATTGACTCGAACCAGAATTATACTAAAAGATTAGATTATGGTAGAAAGGAATATAATAAATGATCGTGTCGACGATGGCGATGCTAATGTTGTTGGGGCGAAGTGACTGCCAGAGTCAATTCGATTCAGCCTCGTGCTGCGGCGGATTGCTGAGCGGTTGGTTCGTTGGCTGTGCAAGACAACAAAGCGTTAAGCTTGACGGGGATCCAGTCCTCGACACGTAAAAAAAAGGCAGAAAGAAGATTAAGTTGTAAGGCGAGCAAGTTTGTCTGAGCTGGAAGCAAATCGGGAACAAACACTATTGTCGACCGGCGACAATGTATTGAACCGTTGGAAGTTTGTACAGTTTAGAAGTATCCTGTGCGAATTGAAGCAAGACAACAAGGGAACATCCAGGAGCACAGCTCTCGGATGGTTCTGGGTTTTTTTGTTTTGGTAGGTGGGTGATATTAAGGGAAGTATAAAATGAAGATGAAGATGAAGGAACAACAAACAAACAAGTGCAACCAGTGCACAAGATACTTCCAAAACCACAGGCAGAACAGACAAGACTAGCTTGCTGAAGAAAGAAAAGAGGAAAGGGAAAAGTAGGGGAAGGCCAACGAGGGCCCGGCGGGTAAGAAGGCTCTTTTATGAGGGAGGAGGAGTCCACATGAAAGGTGGTGGTGGGTGGACAATACCTGTACTCATTATTCCGTACTCAGTACTGAGTAGGTAGGTAGCCTCCTGGAGGAGGTAGGTAATTACCTGCACTAGGAATAGCGACCGTGCCTGGTGCAGGTGGGTTTGCAGACCGTCCACCGTCCACCGTCCACCGTCACTCTGTCACACCCCAGCAGCGGGTAAGTCCAGGGTTCGATTGGCCTGCGCCGCCAGCCCGTCTCCGAGCCTTCAGCCATACAGAAGCCATTGCTTGCCGCCCAGCCAGCAACCACTGCCAGCCTCTCCAACCTATATCAACCTATAACATTCTCCTCCATCACCCTCCTCTGCACTATCGTCACCCATCATTCACAACATGGAAGTTAAAGTTCACCAGACCGAGGAGGGGAAGCCCAGAATAGACTTATAGAGGGTCAAAGTCTGCTCCCTCACTGGTGGATGCTTCAATGCCTCTCACTTATCACTACGCCCGTCTCCATTATCACGGACAGTCCGGGTGGGGGGGACTGCATGGCGAAGAGGGGGAATATGCAGACGTGCATGCCATGGGCACACACATCCTTCACCTACACCAACACGGCTGATTATTGATTCGGCTCCAATGCCACCCTTTATTCAGTCAAGTACAGCAAAGTATATCGTAATCCCAACCCCTTCGCTGCTCACTCATCATCATCCGCCAAAAAAAAAAAAAAAACAAACAAACAAAAAAGGAATCACAACCCTCAGATCCTTTGTACGCCGGAAAATGCCGAATCAGTCGGGTCTTCGGTTGATATCGCAGATTTTGATGGTGGAGAAGGATGGGAAGCATATTCAATGGGGAAAAAATAAAAAGAAAAAAAGGGGAAAAAAACACCGGAAGACAAGAAAGGAAATTATCATGATATAGAGAGGCGGGGGTGAGAAGATAGAGGGGAAAAAAAAGAAAAGAAAAAGAGATTCAACTGATATACATGGATGGTATTCCTTGTTCTCTCTCACCGCACGGACACTCCAGACCGGTTGGTAAACATGCGAGCGGCAATGTTCATCGAGGCCAGCTCTTGGAACAGAAGCTTGGCTGCATATGGGATATGCACCTGCGAAATACGGTGCTTGTTGTTGCACAGTCGGCACTCGAATAGACCTTTCTTGAGTTTTCTGCAGAATCTCCGTTAGCATGGTCCGTCCACTAGAGTCAACTAGTCAGCTAGTCAGGGAAGCATCGTCAAACTTACGCAACCGGGGTCATTAAGCCGCAGTCATCGCAGATATGCACGCGGAAGGGGTCGGACACATCGAACAACCGCTCCTTCAAGAAGGCACTGGCTCCGTGCGCAATCATACAATCGCGCTCCATTTCTCCGAATCGAAGACCACCATCACGGGCACGACCCTCCACAGGTTGTCTCGTCAGGATCTGCGTAGGCCCGCGTGCACGGGCATGGATCTTGTCGTCCACCATGTGGCGCAGACGCTGGTAGTAGGTCGGCCCCAAGAAGACCTGGGCCACCATCTTCCGTCCAGTGTGGCCGTTGTACATCACCTCAAATCCACGAGATTGGTAACCGTGTTCACGAAGAAGACGAGAAATTGAGTCGACCGTGACGTCAGTGAATGGTGTGGCGTCACCCTCAAATCCACGTAGCGCAGAAACCTTACTAAGCTGACACTCAATCAAGTGGGCAATTGTCATACGAGAAGGAATGGCGTGAGGATTGATGATCAAGTCGGGAGCCACACCCTCACGCGTGAATGGCATATCCTCTTGACGATAGGTGATACCAATGGTACCCTTCTGTCCGTGACGCGAGGCGAACTTGTCACCAATTTGGGGCACCTTGGTCGTCCTCATGCGTACCTTGACGAACTTCAGGTCGTCGTTACTCGTAGATACCAACACCTGGTCCACGATACCATTCTCCGTGCTTCTGAGGGGAGTGGAGGCGTCCGTTTTGGTGTGCGCCTTGGTCCGTTGGCCCAACTCCTCCGCGTCTGGAGCCAGAGGTGCGGTTTTACCGATGATGATATCGTCACCGGAGACACGAACACCCGGGGCGATGATGCCGTCCTCGTCGAGCTTATCATAGGTTCCCTTCCGCATGCCGAGGGTGTCCGATCTCATCGGCTTCTCGAAGCGTTCAATGACTTGCAATCCCACCATTTTCTCGCTGTCGGTGTAAGTACGGTAGAAGAGACTGCGGAATAAACCACGATCGATACTGCTCTGGTTCATCACGACGGAATCTTCCTGGTTATAACCAGAGTAGACAGCGATAGCAACAATAGCGTTCTGACCAGCCGGGAGCTCACGGAATCGCAAGAATTCCATGGACCGCGTTGTGGCCAGGGGCTTTTGAGGGTAGTAAAGGATGTTGGCCATCGTCTCCATACGTTGGTCAAAGTTCGTCAAAAAGACACCCATGGCTTGTTTACCCATAGCGGACTGATAGGTGTTACGGGGAGACTGGTTGTGATCTGGGAAGGGAATGATACTGGCACAAACACCAAGGATCATACTGGGATGGATCTCGCAGTGAGTCCAAGTGTGCGCCTTTTGACTCAGAATGGAGCGTACACGCTTGTTCGGATCGTGTAGTTCCTCATCCGGAAGAGCATAACCAGCCTGGAGTTGCTTGGAAATTTCGAGATCTTCCGGAGTCATGGAAATCATGATGGTCTCTTCTTCTTCAGCATCGACGTACTCCACTACACCAGACTTCACCAGGCCATCCCAACCAAAGTAACGATCGCGGCGGTCTTCTGGATCCAAGTCTGGAGGCAGGTCTTTATCTTGTTCCAGTTTGCGGATGTGTTCTTTGTTGAGCACCAGAGAGCCGCAGTTTTCACTCTTCGGGTCATTGTCAATGACGTAGAGCGGTCGGCAGACACGTCCAGCATCGGTGAAAATCTTGAACTCCCGCTCACGAATGTCTCGAATCAGACTGACCTCGTGCGAAATCATGTTGCGGCGACGAAGGGAAAGCATCGTGTTGACAAGGTGAGCGGGGTCTCTATGGATACCAACCCAGACACCGTTGACGAACACCTTGGTAGCGTTCGGTGTCACTTGAGGTTCGAACTCCTCGAGGACTTCCATATTACGCTGAATCATGAAATCAATGATAGGCTCGCTGGGCGTACCGACAGTGATGTAGCACATGAGAGCCAAGTTCTTGACCAAACCACAAGCTTGACCTTCAGGGGTTTCAGCCGGACACACCAGGCCCCAATGAGTGTTGTGAAGCTGACGAGGCTTGGCGATCTTTCCGTCTCGCCCGATGGGTGTATTGGTTCGGCGAAGATGGGACAAGGTGGAGGCGTAAGTGTAACGACTGAGCACTTGAGACACACCGGCCTTGGAGCTAGCTGCCTTCTTCTGCTCGCCCCAGTTACCCGTAGCAAGAGCATACTTCAATCCTCCCGTCAAGGTGCTAGCCTTTATACCAATGTTCAGGTAAATCTCTCTGTTCGTCTCCACGCACCGCTGAACATACCGCTGTAGATCGCGGGTGACGCGGGTGAACAAGACTCGGAAAAGGTTCGCAAGAAGAGGACCGGCCAAGTCCAGGCGCTTCTTACCGAAATGATCACGGTCGTCGACATCCCGGCGACCCAGAGCACACTGGAGAAGTCTGTGCACCATGTAACCCAAGAAGAAGGCTTTCCGCGTCTCACTACCTTCGCTCTGGGAAATATGCGGGAGGAACTCTTTCTGCATGATCTCACGAGCATAACGGACACGGCGTTCGTGGTTCATGCTGGACTGGGAAGACCCACGCTTGGCGATGAAGTCAAGTGCGACCTCGCGGTCCTGAATGACGAAACCTTCTTCAATACATGGCTTCAGCATCTCCAGCATAGGTGTGTCGTTGCGGTCATAACAAATGTGGTTCAGGATATCTTCATCAGAGACCACTCCGAGAGCTCTGAAAACAACCACAATTGGAATATCGGTCTTCACGTAGGGCAGTGTCGACCGAATCGTGGGACCAAATCCACCCTTGGCACTATCACCTTTCGCGAACAGCTTCAGAGACAATTGTGACAAAAGCCGCGAACCCTTCTCGACAGCACTGCGAATTTCAGCAACATAAGGTGTGGGACTGGGTGGCGCCTTCTTGAAAACCTGGACCGTGTTGCCAGCACTGCGTTCCTGGGCAATCAGAACCTTCTCACTGCCATTAATGATGAAGTAACCGCCCGAGTCGTAAGGGCACTCATTCCAGTTGTAGAGAGCCTGTTCGCTCAAGTCCTTAAGGATACAGTACTTGGACTTGAGCATGATGGGCACCTTTCCGATGAACACCGTCTCCTCCTTAGCTTGGTCAGCGGGTAGTTCCTTCTGCTCCCACGAAAGATAGGTGCCATGAGCTTTGCGATCCTCGCTCGGGTCACCCATCTCATCCTCATCCCGGTCGGCAATCAGACGTTCCCGACCCTCCATGATCTTCTTGGTAACACCCAGGTATAGAGGACTGGCATATGTAAGGTTACGTAGACGAGCCTCTTGCGGCAGCATGATGGTCGTTGCACCATCACCTTCCGTCACGGAGGGGCGGGAGAGCATGACGGTTCCGAACTTGAGCTCGTATCGGCGGACAACAACCGGGTCGACTTCATCTTCGGCGGGGGGGAGCGTCTGATCCAGTGTCACTTGGCCTTGTTCCTCCACCAACTCCTGCATCGTTGACGAGATGAACTCATCGAAAGAGTCTAGCTGCTGTGAAACCAGACCCTTTGTGTCGAAAAAGGACGAGATGACGGTCCAGCAATCCTCCGACGTGATCCCCTCGTCCATATCGTCGTAGTACTCATCCTCGTAGGCATCTTCGTAGTCGGCCATCTTGACGAATAATCGATCACGGACCTAGCGAAATAATAAAGGACAAGGATTCAAGAAGGCGCAAAGGGCGCGACGCGCTCGGCGGAAAATATCCCACTCGACGTCGCCAAAGGGCTAATGTCAGAGGGTAGACACCGGGGGTGAGACTTCGAGATGGGCAAGGACAGAAGCAATCAAAGAGCCGGGATCCTCAAGAAGATAATGAGGTTTGAAAAACCCAGGCCACCGGTGATGCTGGTGAAGGGAGCAAGCAGCTGGGGAAGTGCTTCAAGTCTCCGGGCGGGCGATGATGGATCTTGACTTGATGAGCGAGCAGAGAGAGAGAGAGCCGCCACTAGTCCCTCCCGACCGCCTGCTGCTGCTGGCGCCGCTAGTCACGGGTCGTTAACTACTTAAGGCAAAGGCATAACTACAGTAACACTAATCCGAAACAAAGAACCACCATCACGTGATCGTTATTTATCCATTGAATTGAATTCACTTTGGTGTTACTTTACATTACAATACAAGATACATCCACAATGACCTCTCCTCACCCTCTTCCTATGCTTATGCATTCTGGGTGAATGCTCATGGTTTGCTAGCAGCTATACCAAGATTGATCTTCTGTATCCCCATCATACAAACTGAAGAAGTGCCTCCAGCATCTCCTTATGGTCCTTTTGCCCCGGATCTTCCTCCGAAAGACCTTCTACTTGCTCTAGATGTAAAGTATTGTCAGTCTTGGTTCTCATAGTGAGAAATACAGGAGGTGTGTAATTGCCATACCTTGTAAGGTAGCTTTGACCAAAGACAAATCCTCATCTCGGTCTGCGAGAAGTGAAACAATCTTCCTCTTAGCCCCATCATCTTCGGCGACGAGCCAAGCCAGAATCACGTCAATGAGCTGCAAAAGGCGTCAGTGTGTCTGGACGGGGATGAAACTGGCGTCGAGTATGAGCGACGAACCTGAAGCGAAAACAGCCCAGCGTCAAACCGTCGGGATAACCATTCGCTTGCCATGACCTCCTGTTCCTCTGGTGTGAAGCTTTTCCGTTCCTTCTCAACCGCTTGCTCGACGGGAGACACTCTCGAAGCATAATCCCGTCGTAGCTTGACGAGTTTCTCGATCTTTTCATAGTCCTTCTCCATGAACTTGGCAAGCGTACGTATACGCGGCGCGGACCCCCCCGGTAGCAGGCGCAGGAGGGAAGCAAAAATGCCCAGTAAATGTTCGACCGTCTGGTTCTCTTGCTGCTGAATGTCAACCCAGCCCGAGCACTCACGAGAAGAGTATAGCATACCTTGCGCTTGAACATGCCAAATACAGTACTCAAACATGCTGCTTCGATGAACCTCTCGCAAGCACTTGCACCTGCTGCACCGCCTAGAGCATGATCCAGAACTCGTAAAGCTCTCTGTTTACTGAACTTCCCTTCTTTCAGCATAATCTGAGCGAGTTCAATTCCTTCACTTTGCAGGAATTTGTCCTTGCCTGATTCCTCATCAACGACGCAAATCAAACAGTCAAACAAATTCTCGACATATTCCTCCTCGTCAGAATCTTTCTCTGGATCACGCTTGCGATATTGGCTGAGTAATTGAAGAAGAACTTCCACGCCGTCCAAGCTCACGAACCTCTCGCGATTCTTGGCCGTAGACTGTAGTAGGATGGCCAGAATTTCAGCCGAGTATTGTTGATTCTGGCTCACAGGCCTTTCCTTTTTCTGAATACGAGATATGAGCCAAGGCAGAACATTGGGGTCCTCCCCTATCTTCTCTGCGATTGACGCTTGCGAGGCGAGGTTTTCAAGAACATCTTGGGCGGTCTTAGTAACTTGTCGAGCTACCGAAGGACGGCGGACTCACTTAGCACGTAGTATACCCCTGCTCTGTCAACCTCGGATTCTTCGTCTAGCCTAGACAGGTTTTGCGCTAGTAGTTCGACAAGGTCGGCATCCAACTACCACTATCAGCAAGCTTCTAGCTTCGGTATGCAAGTGAATATACCATAGCGTTGACAAGTGTGTCCCATTGCTCCTGCTCAGCTTCCACATCTTCGTCAGTCAATTCCCCAATGATCTGGATGGCATCGATCGCGATATCGGCGTTCTCATGGGAGAGTAAGGATACGAGTGAGCCAACGCAGCCCAGCTTTGCAAATTCCTCGAACAGTTCGGGGTGCTCGGAGAGAATCGATAGGCCCTTGATCTCAGTATCGAGGTCCGCCTCCGAAGCCATAAACCTAGGAAGCTTAGCAAGATTTGTTCTTCCGTATCATGATCAACCCAGATCAAAACCCACTTTTGAGGATCATTCTCGAATTTTCCGCGAAGCTCAGCATTCTTGGATATCTTCTTCTCGAAGTTCAGGGCGAATCGTCGCACCCAGGCAAGGTCAAATTTCTCCAGCTAAGCCACATCAGCACTCATCCCCATGCAGCTTCATGAGCTATACCCTTACCGATGCTTCTTCCTCTTCATGCTGGTCAATGTATTGCATAGCCTGAGCGGTCTGGCGCTCCATACCACCGCCGAAAAAGCGACCTTCTTCGTCATCGGGGACATCTTCGGCCTCGAAATCCGGGGGTAATTCTGGGCCGGCATAGTCGTCCTCTGCGTCGCCTCCTTCCTCTTTTACTATTGCCGCCTTCCCTTTTGATTTAACATCTCCACCCGCGTCCAGCTTAGCCGCTTTATAGAGCTCATCTTGCATTGAACGTCAGCACCGTCTGCGGGAAAGGAGGGGTATTCGTAACGAACTTGGATCTTTCGAGGCATCGAATTTGCGCTTTGAACTCACTGCAGATGAAGGTTTCTTTAGACGTTAGCAAGCCTTTGGGACCATAGTGTCATCATGGATTCTGTACCTTGAAGAGCTCATCGATGCTCGTCATGGCTGCGGCTTGCGCGAGCGGACTTAACGGAGGCTTTCGTCACCACCAACTCAAATCAAGTAAATACGCGGTATGCAGGTCGATCAGTCCAGATTCCAGTAGATAAGTTCCTCTTGTTGACCAATTCAAGCAAGTTGCGACCGTTGACTGCTGCTGCTAGATTGACTGATCGCGCCGCAGCTCCCAAGCCGATACGGGTGCCGCGATAAGCTAAAGGCGCAGCTGCCAAGCATGGAAAGATTTCTCGGCCTCCGGCATCATTCCGCATTGCCCTCAACCGCAACTCCATTTACTCCATTCATCTCTACAACGTATTACAACGACTCCCTCCCCGTCAAGCTCCAACGTTCACTCATCCACCTCCCACATCCCATTCACATCATGGTCCCCAGACAGCGCGTCGTTTCCGGTCGCCCCCAGAAGGGCTTCCTCAGTACCGCCTACGAGGAACTTACTGCCGCCGAAAACGCTACCATCGTTCGAAGCCTTCTTGTCTTCGGCGTAAGTGCCAAATCTCACAGGCTCAATTACAATAGGAACCAGGAACTAACTGTTTTTTTATTAGGTTGGCGTTGCTTTCCTCCACAGCAGCCTCGGCGAGCTCCTCCTCCCTCCGTAAGTTCGAGATACACCGAGTCCTTGTCAACTCAACCGCTCAGGCCGTCAGCCTGGCCAGGATCCCGCAGGTCGCTGATGATTGATGAGCAGTATGTAAAATGGATACCCTATGCCTCCGTCCAACTCCGTGAAACGAAGGTCGCCCGACAGGCCGGGAACCGGGTCGACTATTGATCGCTGGATACGTGCGGAATCTTGCTATGCTATTGCTCTCGACATCTGAAGTTAATGAATACGTGTATTATATTTTTTTTGTGCATTAAATGGCTCCGCCGCGCTGATGGATGGGACATGACTTGCCAGATGATCTCTGGGAGTCTCTCTTTTCCTTCTTTTTGAATAGACTTGTGATCCTAGTCACCTCTCGCTCGTCTCGGAAACCCTGCGTGCGTAGTACTCAGACAATAGTGGATGCTCTGGGGTTCGACCAAACTACTATCATGCGTCTTTGAAACTCTTTGCATTTGGTATCTACCTCGTCTTGTGAGACGGGCCTCGGGATGTTTCGACAGCCTCTAGTCAAACGCATCCATAAGAGGCCGAAAACCAAGTAGTGGCAGGTTGTCTACTCTTCTAGAGACAGATATATCTCAGATCATTGATCGGGGTGTGGTTCAAAGCAAGTAATGGTGCCTGGAGCATGAGGAATTGAGATGTCCCTGCATACAACCGATATGTTTTTGAGAATCTATCGGGGGGTAGTGTCGTGCGGCCTGGCGGTCTCGCTGAATGCCCATCTATAAGTAGATACAAAGCACAATAAACTGAGAATGCCTTTCAAAAACAATCATTCTCTTTCTCATTATTGTCTCCGAGCCCCTTGTCAATCTGGGATAAAAAACATTGAACGGGTGGGCATTGATTTTGATAAAGGCTCTTTGTCTGCTTAGGACTTTTAAGGATACATTCAACTTCGACATGGAAGCATTATCATCGATAGTGATAAAAACCTCTTTTGCCCTCCAGGTCATAGACCATGGCATTGAGCAAGCATCATATTCAGTATCTACGACGATTGACTGACCCAAATCAAGCGCCACTGGCATTAGTTTCTCATCATGTGCGCAAATTTAACAGAGCCACTGGCCCCAGACGCCATGCTCGAGTCCGCTTTGCCCGGATTCACATTTCTGTCTCGTTTTCTATTTACCAACTTCAATATTGACCTGTCCCCTTATTGTTTCATTTTCCTCATCATCATCTGTGGCCGCATGGCGTTGCACCATGTTCTGCACTTGTTTGTGACCCCACTAAACTCTGCCTTGGCACATCTTCGTGACTCGTTCACTTGCAGGATCGAGGTAGAAGGCCAGGACAGCATATACAGATACCTCATGTACTGGGTGATACATCATAAGTCTATGGCTAGAGCCAAGCATCTCCTTGCCAGCAACGCGCTGACGGTCGGCGGTCGGTATGTCAATATAAGAACCAGCCTTGACCCCAACGAAGACGACGACGAGCCTGAATATCGGCCAGGAGACAACTTCGACGAATGGTGGAGCAAGGTCATCAAGAAACGCAGCACCCAGCCCTTGCACTTCATCCCCTCCACGCAGGAGCACTGCTTCTTGTACGCCAGCCCTTGGTTCTCTTGGTGTTTCTGGCGCTGGATCAAGTTCCAGCGCACCAAAACCAGCGAAGACACGTTGGTCAGCGATCGAATCGTCATTTCCTGCTGGGGACTGCCGTTCTGTAATTGGGGCATAGGCATGCTCAAGCAGCTGCTTGCCGAGGCGCAGCAGGCGTGGCTTGACAAAGACCAGGATAAGATCGAGATTTGGAGTGCCCGAGGAGGGGAGTGGCAGCCGTGTGACGGGCGTTCCCCGAGGCCGCTGGACAGTGTGGTGCTTGACCAGGAGGTCAAGGCTGGTGTCTTGGCTGATATCGAGAGATTCCTCATGAACAAGGCTGTCTACGAGGTGCGAGGGCTTCCGTATCGCAGGGGCTATTTGCTTTATGGCCCGCCTGGAACTGGCAAGACCAGTCTATGTTATACCCTTGCCGGACACCTGAAGCTACCGATCTATGTGATAGACCCCAGTTCGTCTTGTCTGAACGAAACCCGCTTCAGACAACTCTTCTCCGATTTGCCCTCGAGGTGTATCGTTCTGATGGAGGATGTGGACTGTACGGACATCACACAGTCACGGGCACCTGGGCGTGACAACATGAATCAGCACATGATGATTCCTGGACACGGCCCTACTCAAAACGGCATTTCACTATCTGTTCTTCTCAATGCCATCGACGGTGTGGATGCAAGTGAAGGCCGCATTCTCATGATGACGAGCAACCACGCCGAAAAGTTGGATGCGGCACTGATCCGTCCCGGGCGGGTGGACATGCGCATCGAGTTCAAGTACGCGACACGTGACGAGATTGAGTCTTATTTCAAGACATTTTATTCGCCTCTACATACTATGAGGCATGTAGTGCGGATCCAAAATGAGGAGCGGGTGCCCATTATCACATCTGGAGACGTCGACAGGCTGGCCTGTGACTTTGCTGCACAGATCCCCTCGGCACAGCTTACGGTTGCTGAGCTCCAGGGACATCTCCTTGAGCACAAAGACGATCCTAAAGCGGCCATCAGAGAAGTAGAGACATTGTTCCAGAAGACTAAGGCTCAGCGCGATGAGCGCATTAAGAAACAGATGAAAGAGCAACAATTGGATATGAATAGGGAGAGGGAGAAGATGCTGAACAAGGAAATCGAGATGGAGAAAAGGCTGCAGAGCGAGGAGCCTCCCGCTGAGAAGAAGATATACAATTTGCGGTCACGGCGGAGAATTGCCTACTAGGGCTCTTTGTATATAATCACGATGCTGCACTGTACTATATACACCTACATCCCACTGTACATGATGAGAATTGATGATCGACATACCAAACTTCCCAAAGTGGCCTAGTGTCACCCCACAGCTGACCCCAACTTTTTTCTCTTCTGCGCGGGGCAATCAAAGTAGAGATTATCTAAGCCAAACTCCACTCGACTTCTGGAAAGACTGGAACTAACCCATCATTATCCACCCCCGACCAAAGACATTCTCGCCTCAGAGGACAAGCGTCAGTGAAGCTTGATCCTATTTTACTTTGCAATACATACAATCAACTCAACCACCTCAGTGATCTTATCCTCATTGTCATTATAGCCATAGAATATGTTGGCAGCGAAGCGCAAGCCGCCAAGTGCGGAGACCGACGATGATAATCCGCCGGCGCCTAAAAGAAGCAACAGCCTGGGATACAATCCACATGCGCCCTGGCTACAAGACGCCAGACCATCTCGGAGCTGGCGGACTTTGGGCGAACGCGCTCACCGACCCTCCCTGCCATTGGAGAATATGGTTTCTACGGTCCGAGATCTGATAGACCCGGATTTCGATCCACTGATTGCGCTGCTGGATGAAGAGCCGCGATTTTTGAAGCCGCTTCCAGCACGCATCCCCCAGGAGGACTTGGAATTCTTGCGATTTCGCGGAGCCCTGACCATTCCCGAGAGCGGTCTGCGAAATGAGCTCCTGCGCTGCTATATCAAGTGGGTGCACAGTTTCATGCCGGTGCTGAACCTACAGGAGTTCTTGCGGTGCGTGGCCGAGAATGACCACAACGGGAATGTCAGCTTGCTGCTATTCCAGGCGGTCATGTTTGTGGCCACTGCGTTCGTGGATATCAAACATCTGCAGGATGCTGGTTATGCGACCCGGAAAAGCGCGCGAAGTGTATTCTTTACACGGTTGAGGGTATGTGCGAGCCTCGAGCTACACTGTCAGATATGCTTTTTCTTGTTCTGTGGCTGACTAGAAGCGCTAGCTGCTGTACTCCTTGGACTGCGAAGACGATCGAATCGTCATCTTGCAGACACTCCTTCTCATGACTTATTGGTCTGATCATCAGAACAACCCTCACAGAGACATCTGGGATTGGATTGGTGTCTGCAATACACAAGCCCATTCCATCGGGTTGAACAGGGATGCATCCACAGCTAACATGGACCCGAAGATGAAGAGGCTGAGGGCTCGTATATGGTGGAGTTTGTACTCACGCGATCGTCTCATCGCCATGGGTTTAAGGCGTCCTACTCAGGTTAATGAGGGGACAAGCAATGTACCCATGTTGAGACTTGAGGATTTCGACTTCGAGCCTTTTCATCCTGCAGTCATTGAGATGTTTCGCTGTCGTCAGCTCGAGGACGTATCCCACCAAAAGCGCCTAGCTACCATGTTCATAGAAAAGGCCAAGCTGTGCCAAAGCATAGGGAGAGTCTTATTCGCGCAGTATTCACCATCTCAGTGCCAATTCGGGGTGACAACTCGAACAACGATCAGTCTAGTTCCCAGACAAGCATCGGAATCAGAGTTGGCACGATGCAGCCAGCGACTCGAATCATGGTTGAGCGCCCTCCCAAAGGATGCACAATTCATCCCCGCCTCACGAACTAATATTCATGATGGAGAAGATGTCTTGCTTCTCCACGGCGCGATGGTACGAATGCTATATCATGCGACTACCAGCGCACTGTACCGACCCTGGGCATTTTTGCCCAAGAAGGATCAACCCAAGTCGCGTCTTGATCTAATCAACGCAGCACAGACGAAGATGCAGGACGCTGTCATTGGCATTACTCATATCATTCAAGGTCTCAACCAGTTGAACCTCACACGCTTTCTGCCACAGTCCGGGGTAACAGTAATTATCCCTGCTGCTGTAGCCCACCTGACGAACTCGTTGTCCGGTAGCCCCTCAACGCGAGAATCCAGCATCCACCACTTCCAGCGCTGCATCCAAGTCTTGCAAGGGCTCAAAGACATCTATCCCGCAGCAGACATGGAAGTAGCTAACATCGAAGCTGCGGTCAAGGTTCAATCTGACTGCAATAACGCTCTCTTACAAATCATGCAACTTGACTCTCCTTCATCTCCGAACACCATGCAGCAACCTCAGGCGCGGAAACCAAGTGCTGCCTCTACCTCCCGAACTATGCTTTCAGCGGATGGGAAAAATCCCAGTCAATGGACCCCCCCTCGAGACGATCAGGAACTAACCGACTCCGCGACCTTGAACCTGAAACAATCCGACCTTAGGACCGCCGGCCCCTTCCGAGCCCGCCGCGACAGCAGTCTCACAGCATCACCCGCCACCGCAGCCTCTCTCAACGCCAACCCTCCATCCTTACACAAAGCTCAACCCACCCCGCCACACGATTTCGATGACCCCTTTAGTCATGCTTTCCACGATCATAATCCTGTCTCACCCCGCCAACAAAACCCCCAACCCGACCATCAAGGCCAGTCGCACGACAATTCGGCCCTAGACCCTACGGACTTTTTCTTCGACCTTGACCTCGACCTCGACAATTATGATGCTGACTTTCCCTCCCAAGAAGGCCATGGCTCGACCGCTACGGCAGCGGCAGCAGCCGACCACACCGCCGCCGCCGACATGGACATCGACTGGGCGAACGAGCTTCTCCGCTGGGTTGACCCCGGACAAAGTCAGAGCCGTGAGCTGAGGTCCGATGACCATGATCGCAACGACCTCTTCGGGATATTTGACCCCGAAAGCGATAGTGGCAACGTGCAGCAGCACGAAATAACGGCCACCAGGTTCACTCCTAGCAATATTACAGGTGATCTAGACCGGGATCTAGGGTTGACTGAAGAAGAGGATGGCATGTTTTGATGTTGAGGATCATGGCGACCAGCAACGGCAAAAAGCGACATATCAGTCCAACACCTACTGTACAGACGAAGCATCAACTTTGGAGGATAGAAACAGTAAAATTGCACATATAACAGGTTTATCCCCATGTATGTATGTCTTCGTCCTTCTATTTCTCTACTTCGTACAGTCATAAAATAAAACCCAAGCACTAAATCTGGAACGAGACCTGCGATCGTAAGGTAGTGAGTAAGATAGGTAGCTTGGGAGGCTCGCTTCGCTAGGGTGAAATTCAGCAATGGTTAGGGAGTAGGCAAAAGGCCTACGTAGGCGTAGGTTTAACAAACCCGAAAGCGTCAGGAAAGCTGTTGACACTGTTCCTTCTGCGTCCACCGATTCTTCTCATCTCCCTTCTCCCATTCATGCTCAATATACCCGAGCTTCTTCTTGACGCTCTGCACGGTTGCCTTGTCGCCCGTATTTTTGCCCATGTTATCACTGAGTTTGACGGCGGGCCGGCCGTTGGCGGTGGAGATCTTGATGACGATGTTCAGGGGCTTCGATTTCTCTCCGTCAGATTTGTTGGTGAAATCATCTGTTTTGGTGTCCCCGGAGTAGGGTCAAGTCAGTTCTTCGGCTTCCAATGGTTTTTCTTATTATTGGAAATGGTTGAGTGAGGAAGGCAAGGTGGTAGGATGGATGGGATGGAAAACGTACTTGTGAAAAAAGTGCCCACGCCGAAAACGGGCTGGAAGCCGGCTTCCTCGGCAATGACCTTGTACTCGACGCAGTGCTCGATGTCTAGGGAGTCCGAGAACACGACCGTCTTGGGTTCCTTGATTCCCTCCTGGTCGTAGAATTCCCGGACCATCTTCACAAAGTAGGTGGGATCTCCCGAATCCTGGCGCACACCGGTGTAGACCTGGGCGTAGGTCTTGGTGGGATGCTCGCCCTGGGAGTTTTGCAAGGGAGCAGAGATGGGAGGCGTTGTGCGTGCCTCGCTTTGGATGGTGGATTGGACCGTCGTGCCGGGCCCGGAGGCAGTTGTGCTGACGGCGCCCACGCCGGCGCTGGTGTAGGCGGGGATAGGTTTGCGGAACGCATCGAGGAAAGCCGGGGTGCCGAAAGTGTCGGTCAAGGCGATGCCCAGAACCTGGTTTTTAGTTAGAGCATAGAACGCGCTGGTTAGGCCAATTCTGCCAGAGGGTGGATGCGGGGGGCACGTACTCCTTCGCCGAAGCAACCAAGCCAATACCGGAGAGCCATCTCGTTGGCGTTCTCATAGTCGTCCGTGATGGCAGCGATGGTCATGTACCATTCGTGAGCGACAGTGCCCACAGGGGTCACATCGTACTTCATGGCGAAATGGACATTGCTCGTGCCCGTGAGCGCACCCTTCCAGCCATGCTTTTTGCCCTCTTCCGCGGCGCGAGATAGTCCCTTCATGACCAGGTCTTGCGTGTGATAGTCGCGCCGTCTTCGGGATCCGAACTCGGAGAAGATGCACCCGTGCTCTAACAAGGTGCAGCCCTTCCGGAACGCCTTCTCCTCCTGGCAGCTGTAGTCCCAGTCCTTATCGGTGAACATGAAGTACGCTTGGCTGGTCAGGGCCAGCAACGGGATCTCGTAGAGGATGGTGTCCACCCAGAGACCCTTGATAACATAGTCGACATCGCCCTTGTCTTCGTCACTGCCAGTGTCGCCATCCCTTGGGGTAAAGTGGATCTCGACCTGCTCCGAGGGCTTGAGTTTGAATGTGGTCAGGAAGTGTAGGTAGGCATCGTTGAAGTAGTGGCATTTCTTCTTCAGGAATTCGATCTCGTCGCTTGTAACTTGAATGTTCCCGAGCTCTGAACAGAGATAATCTACGGTTAGACAGGTCGAGAATTATCGATTCCCTTGTGCCAACTTACTGTCCAGCTGCGCAAGCAGCCATTTGTAAGCACCCCGCGTCAGCTTCATATTGGCAGTGCGGTTCGTGAAGCCATAG